AGGTGGTTTTGCAATGGACCATAAAATAATGATTTTTCGTCGTCAAATTACATGGCCAGAGTTTTGGAGGTGCTGAGAGCGCCCGAATCTCAGTCTCAACACAGCTGCAAGCAAATTGAGCCCATCAGCCCCTTCATCTTCGCTGAAAGGCATTTCGTGCTTTTTAATCACCAGTCCTCTGTAAGACAAAAACACTCACATATAGAACAAAACACTTCTTATTAAACCACCCGATAGAGATCATTTAAAGTGTTGGCTGCCTGAGCCTACAAACCTTGCTTCACCTGCAGAAATTACTTCTTGCAGGAACACTTTAGCCTAGCTAGAACATCTGAGTGCCCATTTCTTTTCAGAAAATGGATGGAAAGCAGGTGCCCAGAAGTCTTTCCACCAAATATGCTGACAAATCTGAAATGAGAGTTAAGCAATTGCTGGTGACGTGGTGGTGACTCAGAGCATGACAATCCCGTGCTCGGCCATGCCTGGAGACAGTTCTTCTCCACTCACTCCTAGCACTCCGGGTTTAAGATTACACCTGATTTGAAGCATTCCCTGACTAAATAAAACAAGCCATAAGCTGATCGCCTTCTGCAATGTGCAAGCACACAATAGTAATCACATCTAATGACTCTGCTAAATGCTAGGCTGCACACACCTCCTTGTTTGGTGTTTGTTTTGTATACAGAAGGTAACATCGACTGAATAACGAGGATGCCAAGTTACAGATGGGGTTGTGGAATCGTATTTGACAGCCGATTAGAGTAATCTGACAGAAATGATGACTTAATCACCACGACAGACTCCAAATTCCCAGATAGAATTCCGCCCAGGTTAATCTAATTTCCTTGCAATATTTTTGCCAGAAATAGACTCTTAGCCGGCTTGTTTTCTCCCATGCAGATGTCACATGGCTTTGACAAGAATGTAAATAGGTAGTGTTATTATTGTAGAAAAGATGACTTTGAGGCTCTAAAGCTGGAGAGGATGTGTGCCTTTGAGAGGTTTTTTGGGTTGCTGTGCTGTGTTTTTTTCTCTAATGAAGTTATATTTACATATGGTGGGATGTACTCGGGAAAAAGAGGGGGGGGGGAAAGATGTAACTAGTCAATTGTAATTCTAGGCCATAGCTCAGTCCTGCTGCTGCCCTCGACATAGCCAGCGGCCAGATTCTCATAGATTTCAGGGACATTTTCAGGATCACATGTTTGACAACTGTTTCTTCCGCTTTTCGGTTCCCTTGGACCACTTCAGCACCTCTGCTTGGGACGTGCCCAAGGAGAAGCAGTGACATGCTTGGCCTGAGGCTTGGAGTGGCCTCGGTGACAGTGCAGGCAGCGAATGGAGCCCCCGCTTTGCTGCCAGCGCTGCCGCGAGGCACTGCACAACCTTGGGCGACAGGCGTTTGCCTGCCCTCCACTGTAAAACAGTGGCCCGGTGTCATTTGAGACCTTTGGAGAGAGAGCACGTATAGGAAAGGTAGGTGATGCGTTACTGACCACACAGCTGGATTCGGTAGTGCTCTCTAAACTGCTGCCGAGCAGAGGTTGTTCCTTACAACCCGTATTCCAGTCTGGTGTTGATAGCCCCATGCACAGTGCTGGCCAGGGGAAGCTGCCCACACAGTCAGAATTTGCCTCAGAGCTGTGTTGCTCCCTTTTCCTATACGGTCTGAGCACAGGATGATGTTAATGTCTATAAATTATTTACTGCAGTTATTTTTCTTACTCTTGCCTATTTATTAATTGCAACTGTGCATTCATAAATACTGTATTTTCAGAAGCAAAGCTTTCTTCAAGCACAGAAGAAAATGTTTCCTGTTTTTTTCTGTGACAACATGACGTACTGAGAAATCACTTACCTTGAGATCCATAAGTGTATGGCTTTGTGATGTATAGCTACAATAACAGCTTTCTGATAAGACATGAAATCCTTCATTTCAGTAGATGACATGATTCTAGTGGGTGGCATCTAATTTGAAACAGGTTTATATCATCTATAATCTTTTGGAGGGCCTCGGAAAGCACAGCTATTTTATTATTTTATAGCCTGCAGTTATACAAGCAAGATATAAAACGCATAGATTATTTTCTCTTTTGCTCATTGTTGAGTGAAAGGATAGTACCTATTTAGCCTTTGTCTCTGCCTCTTTAATTTTCTTATTCACTGCACACTTCTTTGAGATTCATTCTTTTCTTTTCTTTTCTTTTCCTTTCTCTTTTACACCTACTTTTAAATATTTTATGGGTAGAGAGCTTATAATATGTATTGTCACGGCAGTTGTCTCTAGAGGTCAGCAATGAGTTTAATAATGAGATGCGAACTAGTGACTCTGTAAAACCCATTTCAGGTTATAAATGGCATGTTTTATTGAATCTAGTGTTAAAGGTTGTTAACGTATCAGTTGGTGATGGTCGGGGTTAAACAAGCTTCAACACGAGCCCTCTCGTGTTAGGAAACTGTCAGTAACGTATTTTTCCACCTGCCTCTTCACTGAAGCCATGTTTGTGTATCACATCCATTTTACCATGGGTATTCTGCAGTTTAAGCTCTCCAGGCCTGATCTGAATCTCTTTATCAGTTTTGCACCAATATAATTTTATTAAGCACAATGGCATCACTCCTGACATTGGCTTGCTGGTGCAAAGAGAATTTGGACCGTGGGTTTTTAGCAGGAACCTTTGAAATCACGCCAAAACCCAGTTGAAATGCCTTGTTAAATCTTGTCTCTTGTTTTGTGAACATAACAGATTATGGATTTAATGAGCTTGGGGTAATTATGTATAACAGAAGAGGATAATTTCTGATGTGGTAACTGTGTTTTATCGGTTAACACTGATCTTTATGTTGTGACCATGGGGCTGCAAAAATAACTTCTTCTCATGAATTTGGTCCAAAGTTGGCTTCACTGGTTCGGGCAGTTTGAAAAGTCAAAGGGTTTTAACATTTGAATTGCCTTTATTCAAAGTATCTCCACTTAAGGGCATATAAATGCAACTAGAAAGAGCGATACATTCTCTGTCTACAAAAGGTCTGGATTTGGGTTGGGTTTTTCTTCTGTAACCTGCATATTCCCGAATTTACAATACTCAATTTTCTTTCCTCTGTTTTCTCACCACTCCATTGCTCCTCAGAGACATCAGTACCTGCAACGGGCTCATGGAGCAAGTTACACCTTTTTTCTTCTTTCACTTTTTGGTTGCTGAGTGGACATGCTGCATCACATTCCCATGAATTTAAAGTGTCCTGCAGTGCCCGGTGTATTGTTGATGCCAGGATAAATGTTAGGCACTAGTTAAAGAAGATCGAGTACAATAGAAGTTCCCTTTTTTTCTATAAATTAGATCGAATAAGAGTGGTGGCAGATAAGTGCTGGACTATTAAAGTCCATTTGGGAAACAAATGATTCAAAGAGAACAGAATTGTTAAAATTGAAGCAAATTTATGCATCCTGGTGACTACATCCACCTTGTGGCTTTGCCTTTTCCTTAGGGCACAGTGGGGAGTTTTGCAAGCAATACAAGGAATGCATTGATTTGCAAGGTCAGGGAGCGTTCCGGACTTCGAGTAAATCTTACAGAAACATTCACAGCAATATTTTATATTTTCTAAAGAATCTAGAAACTATGTCCCTGGAGGTTAAGTGACTCCACCAAAAGCAATGCAGATTCGGTTTTCTGTGCTGCTTTGAAAGCACATTTGATATGAGTGCATGGATGTTCTCTCCTGCTCAGCTGTTTTTTCTTTCCCAAAGTTTGCCATAATAGTCTTTTATTAAAAAAATGGAATTGTCTCTGACATTTTCAGGCAATACTCGACTCTGCAGCACTGAAAAATGATTCAAAAGCAGAAAGAGCATAGATTTTTTTACCTGCTCATGTGAAACGGTGAGGAATTGCTGAGGAGAGAAAAGGCAGTGGTCCTGCTGCTGCCAGAAGTTTTGTGTAGTCAAATCCCAGCAATTCTGCAGAGCAGTATGAAAGAAAATAAAAGTAGGGTTTTTTGCAAGCTTAAATGTCTCCCACTCAACGTGAGGTCAGTTCTGAAGGCTTTTTTGAGAAGTGTAACAAAATTTCCCTGAATCCATCAGAGTGGACACACATCTGGCTACAACCGATGTCCAGTAGAAAAGCCGTACACTCTGATCAGAGGGAGCTCCACTGTTGTGGTGTTACTATTCCCAAAACAACGGAAAACACCATTCGTAAAAATTTTGTTGGAGTTACCAACTCAGGGTGGGATTGGGGGGAGCACCATTTAGTAATGAAAGCTGAGGACGCATCGTGCCGACTGTGCCAAGGTAGGATGCCATGTGATGTTCAGCATAGCACGTAGCACAGAGTTTATTTTGCAGGACATGGAGGAAGAGGTTGAAAAGAAAAAAGTATAAGGAGTTTTTATGGAAGCCAGAATTGTGCCATGGAAGCTTTATGAATGAATGTATAATGTATTCTTAAAAGAGAAAAGATGAGATACTAAACAGTTATAGGAAGCTATTATAGGAAGCACGAGTCTCTTCCTCTTCAGTCCTGAAAGAATCAGCACATGTTTTTTTAATTACAAACAAAGTTCATTTGTCAAACTCAACTCCTCTGAGTATGTTTGAAATGCTTGCTAGCTCTTAAATTACTTGAAAATTCCATCTCGGTTTTGGCAGTGGTTGAACTCAAGGAAAAAAATTGGTAAAACAGAAACCAAGCATGCCATAAACTAATGAGGGTTGTAACTTTAGAGGTCTTCTGAAACTAGATACAGCAAATTAAAGTTTTATATGAGTCCTGTGGGCCCAATGATCTATTTTTTTTAATCTTCCTGGTTATAAAGTGCTCCTTTACCATATTATCCTTTCTTAAAAAGCTTGTAATATAGTGTAATTTTGAATTTATATAATTTCAACATTTTTAATATTAATCATGTACCTTTTTAGCCCTTCATTAAAAACATGATTCTTGATTTTTTATGACTATCCAACCTGCCTTACTCTTTTTCATTTTTGTTTTTAGATGCATCATCCTATTCAGATGAAACCTGCAGATAGTGAAAAGTCAAATGGTACGTGTTTAATTTATTTTTACTTCATTGTGACTCTCTAAACTAAAACAAACACAACATTGTGAGAGTTTTTGTTTTTCTCCTTGTGTGGTGAAAATGATATGAGGTAGTTTCCCTACACCTGACACATTGGGGAGGATGTTGACCTGGTCTGAACTCCCATTTATCCTCTGCATTAACGAAGGAAGGAAATGTTCTGAAAAACAGCCTTTCTTGTACCTGCTGTATGTCATGGTCTACCTCGCTACGTACATCTTTCCCTTCTGTTCTCCTAGCAGCGAGGTGATATGGGAGCACCTGATACTGATAAAATGGAGATGAAGTTTTAATACTGAAAATAAAAAAGAAAAGAAACAAAAAACATTCCTGTGTTAACAAACCATATAAGCAGCTCATGGGCCTTAAACATTTGCCTAAACTTCCTTTTTATAGAATGATGCTGTTCTGAATCGGAGCCAAATTCAGGTTTTAATTACATGCTTGGTTCTGAACTGGGAAACCCACCTTGCCGCTCTCTATATACTTATTCCTCTCAACGATTGTAAAATGAATGCTATAAAGACAGTAATATCCATTCAGAATATGAGGGTGTTGCCTAAGAGAATGTATATGACATGCAAAATAGATGGCATGCTAAATCTATTAAACATGCCAGGTTTGTATATTCAAGGAAATAAGATAATCGGATGGTAACGCAACCTGGCTGTGTGTGATTCTTTAAAAATATATACATGTGTATATTTTGCCCCTTGATTTGTTCCTGTAATTTTCTAAAATATATGTTAAAGATATCATCTGCCTTCTTAGATTGCAAGAGCTTCATTTTCCCATAAGGCCCACATAATCAGAGCTGGTTCCTCCAACAGGCATCTTTGCACCTCATTAATTAGTAATCAGGGCAGAAGCCGTGCACTTAGAGATCTACATACCTGCAAATGTAAATTATGATTGGGCTCTAAATCTCTTCGCAAGGCTTTTTTAAGGTTTCTTTTTTGCTAATTGTAGTGCATCCCATTTTCAGGCTTCTCCAAGGATTATAAAGTTTGGAAGGAAATTAAAACTTCTCATTATGCTAGGTTTCCTATTATGACAAGTTTCAAAACAAAACTGGCCACAAGCACAGGAAACTTGAGCCATCGCCCATTTGTAAGGGAGTGATGTTCTCACTCTTGGGTTGAGTTTTAGCAGTGATTTCGTGCTGTCTTTGAACTCTCAGAAGAGAGGTCAAGGCACCTGCAAGGGCGAAAGGACTGAACTTTTCAGGCCCCGCTGTGGTCAAGGAGAACTTTGCTGTTGGAATCCAAAGTCCACTCCCTAGTATTCATTGTGCTTGTAGTAGGCAGATTTTCCCTTAGGCACAGGAACACTGGTCTGGACCCTCTGAACTAAGGATATCCTCTATGAGTTCTTTCAAAGACAAATTTAACCTGAAGTTCCTTGGCAAATTAGAAAACCAAGAGGCAATGGGCCAAAACTGACTCCCAGTAAGGTCATTGCCTGAAGTTTTTCTTCCTAAAGGAGATTGAACACATCGGCAAAGCGCTGTGGGGGATTGTGCGAATTCTGTCTTGCTCTGCAAGTAACACCTGCTTGGAAAGCGGGGTAGGTTAGCTCCTCACTGCTGCTGTTGGACCAGGATTATCTGCATGATATTCCTGTCTGCACTGTGGGAATACTCTCTTCTTGCGCCTATTCCTAACACGAAAATCACGAGGGACTGGCTTTTTTTTTGCTTTTTTAACTTACCTTTGTATTTTGGGGAAAATACATTGACGGATTAGAGGTTACAATTGTCAAATTAAATACCTTTATAAATTTAGACTCCTGAAGGGTGTAAGTACTCCTGGTAGGCATGTTCTTGGGGTGATGAACTCTTCTTTTTTGAGGACTGGGGAAACAGAAGGCAAACTAATACCATGATGATGGTAACAGTGGTACAACTCCTCGGAAAGATGGAGTGTAGGCGTTGGATCCATGGAGGAGGTGAGAGTTTGCAAGCAGTTTGGAGAGCCAAAAAGAGAAAAAAGCAGCAGCATGGGGGATGCGGAGGCCTGTTTCGCACGTGTTTCCCATATGCTTCAGGCTATCTGTCTGAGGAATTATATTATCTGTGCCAACAGCAAGTTGTAAACCGTACCTCTTCAACCAGATTTATAAGTTCAAGGGGGAAAAGAAAGAAGGTATACCAAGGCATCTTGGTTTCCATGAACCATGGTGTTTCAGCTTTTGAGGGATGCTTGAAACCCTTTGACTTCTGAGTAGTGGGAGGATCCCACTACATTTTTAAAAAGGAAAGGAAAATGGTGTTTCTCAAGTTTCAAAAGTTAAAGAAATTGTCTTGGTCAGAATTTCCAGATAGTTTGTGGAAAGATGTGTAGGAGATGTTGAACACTCTATAATTCTTCTGAGCCTGCACATGTTTCTGAAGGCTTGAGAGATCTGTTCAAGTTCCACAGAGAGGAAGGAGACATCCCCTCATTCATCTCACGGAGGCTTTCAAAGAGCAGTGTTTGCTGTGTGATAAGATGTCCCCCTCTTCATCTTGAGTCCCTTGCAAAAAGTTTTGAATGAGCATCCAGGCCCAGGAGTACCAGCTTCTCCTTCTCCATCACTGTTCCTGTCTTTAGATGTATGCATCACTTCAGAAACCTGTCCTTTAGCACAAAAAGCCAGGCTTGCCTCGTGGAAACTGGAAGATGGTTATGGAAGAGGCACCTCCTGCACATGTTTCACTAAGTGCCTGGGCACTTCTGCAGGATTAGGACTTCATTAGAACCTGAAGAGCTGAGGAGGAATTGGGTGGCTGATACATCTATGCAATCACCTCCATTCCTTCCCTGTGTACAATAGCTCATGTGTCTGAGTCATTTCTCTGCTCCTGCAGAAGAAAGGAACCTGAATTTCTTCCACCAACCTTTTAGCAGCTAGAGTTGATGGGGAAAGACCTCCTTTTAGATCTAATTGATTTGCCTACCTGTGAGGAATCTGAAAAGGTTTTTATTGGTGGGAATTATAACAACCCTGAAAGATTTTCAGATAATGAATTTTGTAGTGTGTCCTGGTCTGTTCACCCATTAGGTCTAGTCTGACAACCTTTATATTGCTAGGTGTCCATTTTAACCTATCTACAAAGTTTTGGTTAAGGATTACCTGACAGAAAAGCATGGTTTCAAGATTTCTAAGGCACCACCATTGCTACATTCATCTCAGCTGTTAATCACTCAAAGTATTTCTCTGTTTAAGGATATTTTCCCTTTTTCAAACAAAGGGGATTCCAGCACGCTAATGCCAAAAAGCACATAAACATATGCTTGACTCTAAGTTGTCTGTGGCCATTAACATGCTATGATTTAACAAATACTTAAATGTGTCTTGGATCAGGATTTGAGTAGTCAATACTTTCAGGCACATATCCTGTGGACAGTATGTTCTTAAATGGATCAAAACATCACCACTTCAAGGGAAATGACAAAATTATCTATTTAAAAATCAAAAAGGGAGGGGACACATAGCTGAGTGATCTTATAATTTATTTTTATTTATTTTATTAGTAAAAGCTTGAAAAAATAATTTTTAAATGCTAAATGGCACAACTTTGCCTATTTGGAGGGAGTAATTAAACGCCATATGTTAGCACTAACACATAGAAAAGTTGATAATTAATGCAGGCAGCTCCAGATCCAGGTGTGACTTTGACAGATTGTATGCAAGGGTTTTTCACAGGCTTACAAATAGGGATAAAAAGTCTGGTTTTCCCCCTTCCCTTCTGGATTAAAAAAACCCAAAAAACAAAGATAACACAAGCAAACAAAACGCTATTTATACATAATTAACTATTTCTTGTTTTGCTCAAAAGAGAAGGCAACTTCTGGATGGAAAATGCACTCTTGACTAGACTCCTTAAAAATGTATAATAAAGGGATATAATTTTGATTTTTCAGGACAGAATTTTTAGGGTTTAGAAGAAAGAGCAGGAAAATTTGTTGAATCTTCAGGGAGATTTCCCATGATTATTACAGGGTTTAATTCTTTTGTAGCATGCAGAAAATAATCTCTAGTCTTTTATTCTCCTGGGTTAACACAAGTGATCTAATACAGCCTTCAAGAAATGCTCATTACTGAAGCAAATTGAGGAAAACTGAAAAATTAGACCCTTCAGGATGACATTCTGCAAGTTGGATGGGGTGCTGTCAGAAGGCAGGAGGCTTGGTTTGAAAAAAGCACTCCCTCAGCAGAGGCAGACTTCATCTCACATAACCTTTGATGGTTAACGCAGTGCTCTAGATTCAAATACAATGCCTAGGCACCCATGCTAGTGATTGCAGAGCTAATCTTGATGGAGTTATGAGAACTCATCTCATTTTGAAACAAATATTTGTGCCTTGTCACAGAGGGTTCTGCATTCAGGCAAAAGATTCCCACCCCAAATCCAGCAGGTTTAGCACTGGACGTGTCGCACTAACTACCCTGGCAACATAGCTAGCCTGCATTTGTAATAACTTTGGGTGTATTAGAGGTGAACCCCACAATTAATTAATAAAGATACTGTGCAGTTTCACACCTTCCTTCGTGTAAGTAGAACTTCAGGTCTTGTTCACTGTGACCTTCTGGCTGCTTCTGCTCCATCAATGAGGGGTACTCAGCCACCCCCTCTGCTTACAGATGGTTGGATCTACTTCATGCCCACAGAGTGGTGCAAAAGAGCCAGAAAGTACAACTAGGCCTGTGAGCAAGGTTCAGAAATAACTATATCAAACATTCACCCAACAAATTCTCATTAATTATCTGGATTTTGATTTATTGAAACCTATCCCTAGTGTAGAAGAGGGAATTATCAAGCAGCACTGAAGTGCTTATGAGATATGTGCAGACAGGTGCTGACCCTTGTGCCCTGCTCTCCTTCCCCCCAGCCTTCTCCTTTTCCTGCTCTCATTGCCCAAAGCACTCACAGCTCCCAAGCTTTGTCCAGTCCCTCATTTATTTCTCCTGTCCGTGCAGCTGGAGCTCAGGACATCTATGTTATCTGCGTGTTATCATGATGACCAGGTTTTGGGAGTTGGCTGGAAGGTAACAGCCCTACTTGCTGTCGCTAGCAGGGGAGAGACTCCCATGCAACAAGTCATCCCTTCTTGCTGGGAGAGCTGAGATCAGTCACTTTGGAGGAGCTGATCTTTTGGCATTGACAACAGCCAACTGATAACACTTCAGCAGAGACTAAAACTGGTCACCTAAAGAGTAGCAGACTAAAGTTAGGCGTGATGGCTTTAGACTGCCATCCTTTCTCCAACCAGCAGCAGGTAGCACCATTCCCCATCTCGATGCTTTGTTGGGTCATGTGTGTTTAACGTCAGGCGCCTCATTTTACAGTCTGTGGCAGCAATCCAACCCACACGGGTAAATCAGCAGGCTTGGCTGACCGAAAGGGAAGTTTGATAACCTCTAAATACATTTGACCCATACTTCTTGCAGTCTGTTGTCTATTTGATTCTCCAATCATGTCTGCATGGCAGGTAAGAATTCATTTTAGAAAGAAAGAAGTGGCTGACCAGAAATGCAGAAACAAATCCAGACAGCCAGTCTTACAGAGGTGGAAAATGCATTCCTTTCTCTGCGTGAGAATATATCGTTAAAAACTCTTTCAGCCTAATAATATCAGATGTTCTATCAGATGGAGTGAAAACGTGTCATTTTGATCCTGACAGTTGTCCCTTTAAATGTTTTTTTATGCTGGGCCCCTAGCCAAAAAAAAGAATAGCAATTTTCTTAAGCTTCAAAACTGATCAGCACTGACTAACAGCACTGAATGCAGAGCACGTCATCGTATCAATATGTTTTCTGTACTCTGAGCATTCTTTGTGAAATCTGCATTTTTAAGATGTACAGTACATGGGAGCTGGATGTTTAATTTACTATAAAATCACCCTCAAGCCGAAAACCTGCAAATCATGTTAGTTAAATGGCATATTTATAGGTTTACTAGCGAAACTGAAGGAGGCCGGTGGGGAGTTTGTCATCTGCTACTCTTTGGGAAATTAAAGCAAAACCTTCCTGTTTGCATCTTATTTCTTTTGAATCTTCATGTGAATCTCTTTGGTCTGAATCTTTGTCCTTGCACCTATGCAGGATGCAAGAGACCTTCTTTGGGATGGTGTGGCAGGACATTTGTCCAGCTCATTTTTAAGAGGGTTGGGATCTAGTCACCCGTGGGGTAGACCTACGCTCTGTATTTCAAGCCTAAAATCAAACCAAATTTAAACAGACTAGTACTAGCTCACACACAGGCAGAAGTTAAGAGGTTCATGACGGAGAGCAGAGGGCAATGCTTGGACCCATGCTTGGCACCAAGGCTTCCCCCAGCCTGACCTCTGTTTGTGGTATGGACAAATCCATACCTGGCAGCCCCGCTGGGTCCCTCGCCTCGTACCCTTTCCTGCACCCTGGCATAGTGTGTGGCTGCTGTCAAGGGGACTGGCTGGCCAGGGACCTTCCTCAAAGAGACTACTCAAGACAGTATAGAACGTGTAAGGAGTGACGTTACAGGCATCCTTTCACCAGCAAAAGTGACTACCTAGACTCTCCTTGTGGCTGTGAGCAGGGCAATCCAGTTTTACCATGCTTAAAATAATTCTTAGCAGCATCAAGCCCTATTATATATTACAAAGCAGATATAAAGTTTCACTGTAAGACATAGATATGTATACATACACACAAATTTATATATATTTTTTTAAAATCCCAACTTGCAGGTCTTATTTGCAATCTTGCATATTCAGCTCCTGATCTCTATATAGCTGGCTCATCCCCTGCATTCATCATTTGTTAACCCTTTCTGGAGGGTTAACCTGCATGTGGAACCTGAATATAAAGTGTGAAAGAAAATATTCAGTCTTGAGGAGTCTCTGCTGAGGAAAGCTGCTTCTGAGTGTTAAATTCACACCAATTTTCTTGCAAGCTCGTAGAGTTAGAAGCTGGGATTGCAGGAGCTGATCTGTGTTTTGGATTCTGAAAAAGGCAATGTCTTGGTGCTTGCTTGTATAAAACCTACAAATACTTTTTGAAGTCAATAATTCTAAGGAAAAAAATTGCTTTAAACACCTCTCATGATCAATAAACATTAACCTCTTTTATATATTATTGAAATTATTAAATGCACTTAAAATGCTGAAGTATAACACAAATAAAATCTTACAAAAATAAATGCAGTTTCTTCTTCCTCAGCTGCAATTTATTCCATTTGACAAACTTGTACAGGAGAGGGTTGGGGAGCAGGAGAAGATTTTTTTTTTTTTATTGGTAAGCCCAGAAATGAAAATACTTCATTACAAAAATAATTTGCACAATAATGGAAATAAGTAAGTGCAGTGCAGACTCTCTGGAGTAAAGCTTTCCCTCTCTCTTTGCTTCCACGCAAACTCTGACAGTCTGCTCATTAACGGTGAATTGGATTTACATGCCATTTCAAGAGAAGAAGAAAGCACTGGTGTATATACTGTATAATAAGCACTTAGATTTTTGGTTTAATATAGATGGGTGGGTGCATTAACATTTTCAAGTTTTTTCCAGGGTGAATTAAGTTTTGATGACCTGTTTCATTTTTGACAAGAGTCCACAGCTTTAGACCTGTAAATTTGAGTTTGATTAACAGGGCTGTGTGCGTCTTGCTGCAGCAGTCCAGCTCTTGCTGATTTTGGTGACAATGCAGGCAGGAAATAGTCTACCAATAATTCCAGCAAAGCACCTTTTTTAATTTTTTTGCAAACTCAGCATCATTATGAATCAAAGTGTTTGGCCCTGGGAAAGCATTATGCAGCCCTCTTGTTAAGGCGATGCTCTGTAATATGCCTTGTGTCCTCCTGAAGGGGAGAGAGCTGTGGCAGTCTGGAAAAAAAAGCAAGAAAATTTAATGCATTCTTGTTCCAGAGCAGTCATTACACATCTGCCTTTCGAGTGCCATGCATTAAGTTGGCTGAAACTGAAAGCTCAGATAGGAGCCATTCTCTCAAAACATTTCTCGGGAATATTTTGCATTAGCTTCTATCATTACGCACACACAATCCCTTCTTCACCCTCACCCCTGTCATGATTTCTTTCATACATGAGGGAGGTGAGGGAATTTATCTGAATTAAAATCTTCTATGCAAAGATAGCTTTAAAAGTCTCTCTAACGGAGGATGCTTTTTTCTTAGAAGCCGTGACGGGGAGGCATATGCAGAATGACTAAGGCAGCCAATTAATGTTATATAAACAGCAAGCACCACTAGAAAAAGGAGAGCGAGAAAGAAAAATGAGAGATTTGAGGTGGGGGAGGAAGAGGGGAAGGGAGGTTGTAAGTATAAAGTGTTTGCCTTAGGACTTGTCTTCAGTTACAGAGCTGGACTCACATGACTGGAGCTTGGTTTGATGTGGTAATGAAGCATTGATCACAGGAAAAAGATGAAATGGCCTTTGCTCATTCATTATTTTTATCTTCTAGCTGTGGAAGACAGAAAATTGTTCATAGGAATGGTTTCGAAGAAGTGTAATGAGAATGATATCAGGGTGATGTTTTCTCCGTTTGGCCAGATAGAAGAATGCCGAATCCTTCGGGGACCGGATGGGCTGAGCAGAGGTGAGTGTGCAGTCTGTAAAGTCTCTTTCCTTAAGTGCTAATTGGGAGCTGTATGTCACAGCCAAGGTAGGCATAGCCGCTGTCTGCAGCTAGAGGTTACGCTGTAATACGTCCCACGTGATGAAGGTATCCACATGAACTTTTCACAGTGACTGAAATTATCACCTTTTATTTCCAGTGTCAGAAAGGTCTCGGTGCCAACATATTAACTTGTGTTATCGCCCTGTTTGTCAGCTGGAAAGGTTCCTTTGCACCCTGAGAAACCACCCTCAGTTTTCTGCTCTCACAAAATCAAAAATCCTTCCCTGAGCCCATTTCTGCTTTTAAACATGAGGCCAAAAAAAAAAAAAAGGATTGTAAATGACTGTTTGAAGGCATACAGGGTCATGGGAACTGGCCCACGTTGTAGCACAATCTCCTCCATTCCTGTGTTTTCTATAACTATATGCAAAACATAGGTCTGCTGTAACTGAGAAACAAAGAGGTTAGCATAAACCTGAGAGCTTTGCCTGGACAAAAGTTTGTAAAAATAGCTTTTAATTCTTGTGCCTCTATCACAACCCAAAAAGAAGGGCAGAGGTGTTAAGCGGTCAAGCCGCTGACCTGAACTTTGGAAATGAAGAGCAGCACAGACTTCAATAGCCGGTGATCCCTTTTGAGTGCAAAAGTGCCTTTTGGGGAAAGGCCCTCTGGAAGCATATTGAAAAGAAAAGTAAATGTATATTGCTGACCCAGGCTTTATATTAACTCCATGGTATATGGACCTGAAATTATTCTCAGAGCGTGAACCTTCTCAAAAAGCCGGAGCCAATTGGTGCTGAGTGGAAAAGAAAATAGTGATAGTCCTGTCTGTCAGTGCAGAAGAATGCTGTGGTACTAGCCATGGCCATTTAACAGCACAGGGAGTAAAGTAATTTTAAGTGTGGAGCTGTGAAAACATCACTTCTGTTTCTATAGAGAAAAAAAAAAAAACATAGAAAGCACAGTTTATGCATTTTATTACATTTTCAAAAGGCACAGAAAAAATAATAGTACCCATTTTGCATATAGATATAGGTGTAGATCTAGATATTTTTCTTTACTTTTGGATCTGCTTGTTTCCAGTAGGCTATAGGATCGGCAGTATTTTGTGCATGGGGGTTTTTTTGTTTTGTGTACAGCCCAACTTCTTTAAAATGCCTATATATTCCAGAGGGGGAAGTTGCAGGTATTCCTCTATTTCATGGCACTGCTTGAAGGCACTTATTATACTACTTGTGAATAATAAGGACTGGTTGAAAAGACACTCTGATGATAAATAGGGAGCTCCAAGAAAATTATGCACTTACATTTGTGCACGCTCAGTCTGTGATCCCAAAACTTTGGGGGCTGGAATGCAGCAGTCCCTTCAGGCAAGGAGAGGCTCAAGATCATGACTTTTGTCTTGGGGAAGACTAGGGGAAGGGTCTGAGGATGGTTCCTGCAGCTCAGTAATGAATGTTAACTGATGGATTCAAGTGCTGTCATTATCTTTCTAGACCCAACATTGAGGCAAAACAAGAATTTCTGATTTTCACTAATTGTATAAGTAGCACAGGGAAGGAGTGATGAAAGACGGGAAAGGAGCTAAGTAACTGCTGAAATAACAAAATCTGGGCATCGGATGTTTTGAGCCTCAAAAAGATTTAACTGACTTATCATCATCACCCAACAAAGAAATGGATTTTTCCTGGGATCCATAGAAATCCCACTGCGTGCTTGCTTTTGTTCAGCAGACACTGGGCATAGCACGAGCATAGGGAAGTTAATTATGAACCCCATAAGTGAGGTTGGTCGGGTAGTTTTGCTCTGCTGTAACTAACAATCTCACGATAATCGCAAGCTGAGGTTTTTAAGCCATGTCACCAGCGTATCAGGCAGAGCAGTGTCATCTGCTGGCCAGCAGCACCGTAGGGTTAATGTGCTGCTCTCTCCTGCTGGAGGCTGAAGATCTCAGTCCAGGTAGGTCACACACCAGTAGTTGTAGCAGAGCTGTATCCTCTCTGCCACTTGGGTTTATTTTGGTCACAATCACGACTGATACTCTATCATGCCCTCATGCATCATGCCTTGATAAACTTGAATTGCTTTCTACACACCCATGTTGACACTTGAAAATGAGTTCAGCTGTGCCAACCAGGTTTTCAGGCAGATGTTTATCAGGTTCACAAAACCACCACTCCATGAGAGAAGGGAAAGTGTTGGGAAAATGGTTGGTATTGAAATCGAAATGAAAAGTGTGGAGGGAGATTTGCAGCGGAGGAAGCTTGGCTGAAAAAGCACAGGGTGAAAAGCTGCTTCACTAAAGCAAGAGGAAGAATTTATACAGTTAATTCTTTATGATGAATTCAAATACTTAATGAATTTTAATTCATGTTACCATTTCTAAGATGTTCATTCCCATTGACACAAACAGTATTTGTTTTCCCAGCACCCATTCGGATGTGCTTCCCTTCTAGACAGGGAGGGTGAGTGAAAAATGGTCAGTCTTAGGAAAACACTGTCCTCACCATGCCAGAGCCTTTAGGAACTCACAGTGCTCACAGCAGTGAGATGGAAATATGGTCCAATAAACTCTGTTTGGCACCTCTTTTCAGTTCCATAACAAGTGCAGGACATGGTACCTTGCATGGAAAGAGCTTGAAAAGTATATTAATTGGCACTTATGCCAACTTTCAAGCTTTGTTAAAGGGTTCAGACAAATAATCTTTATTACCGTCAGATAGTTGCAAGGAATAGCTCCAGGTTACACTGCTCAGTAGAACAGTTTTGGTTTGTGATGCTTTTTTTTTTTTTTTTTTCTCTCAGTAAAGAGTAAAAATGTTTCACTTGACTTTCAGGCCCTGTCTACACTACAACAGCAACCTCACCGCTAGTACGGTGTCTGCTGTCAGCTCGTAGGACAGATGTAGGGTTGTAGTGTACCACATGGCTCCAGCAGCAAGGAGAAATCCCGTCCTGTGGCATCAAGGGAAAATGTAACACTTTGTGATGAGTGTGATATAAGTGCTAAGATAAAGAGAGAGAGGGAGATTGAACTGGTTGTTTCTATTGTAGTTTCTAGCCAAGAGTTGACAGAACTTTAATAAAGTCGCACCCATTGCTGTCACTACTGATAATGGACCATCAGCATTTCCACTCCAAATTCCTATTGTCAGCTGTTTGAAACTCATCTGTAAAAAGAGACTAAAATAATGATAGAAAGTTCCGATGGTGGAGCAGTGTATTTTAAAGAAACTGAGATTTTTTTTTTCTTGAGTCATTTTTTTCGCTGCTGTTGTTCACTCCTGCATCTAAGAAATAATTGTTGTTTATCTCTGTAACTTGTTAAATTCCAGCCAGCTACAAGAAATAGGCAGCAACCAGAAGGCATTGCCTTCCACAAGCTCTGGGATAGTCCCTGTGAAATTAGTGGGCTGGCAGAGAGTAATTCCCAGCTGTGAAAAGTATTAAAAAATAAAAATACGCTGTTGGCTGTAGAGATAAAGAAACCAGGGACTCACCAGACGTGGAGGCTGGCCTTCACTTTAGCAGGGTTCATGGGACTATCTGAAGAAGCTTGCCACTGCCTGTACTGTATTCATTATTCAAAGAGAAGGATTCAGCCTGCAGGGTTGTTTAATCCAGAACTTTTTCTGAAGGGCTAAGTATGCTTTACAAAAATTCATGATTGTGATATCATGTGCTAAGCTTCATTATCATGAAAAAGCAGAAGAGAACTGCCTCAGATGATTACGATTTTAAATCACTTACTGTAAACGGCTTAAGGAAACTTTCAGACCTCCTGACTCCTAGCACTATGTAACGTCTGCATGACCACAGATGCCAACACCGTCAGCCACGCAGTGATAGCTGGATTGTGCAAAAATAGCCAGAAATACCCGTTTGATTTGTAGTTGTGCCACTGATTGGCACAACTATTGACCGTGAGCTGGTTTTATCATCTCTCTGTTATCCCATTCCTTAGAGTAAGGACAGCAATGCTCTACTTTTATAAAATGGGGTTTTTTAGATCAGTGGATCAATATCTCTGCATCACTCTAGGAATTATTACCATCCATAATGATGATTAAAAAAATCCTCTTATCCTTATCACAGGAGTACCCCACAGCAAATTATTCTGCTGTATTGCTAAGTGCAGATTTATATAACAGATATTAGGAAGACGTCGACTGGTTAATAGCATGCACTGAAAAAAACCCACAGATAGCATGTACAGACAGTTGGATATACCAAAAAAAAAAAAATATGGAAGAGCTCAAAATGCATATTTCTGCATCTTCTAGGCTCCTAATTGTATGACTTTTTAAACAAAACATCACCAGGTACATGGAACAAGTGAACATTTCTGCAGACATTGATAAAAAGGATTTTATTTTTTTTTTTGCTTTTGCTTTAAGAGCAGGTTAGGAATGACATGGAGAGTTATACCGTGGTCAGGTGATTTAATTTCATGAAAATCCATTAATAACTTTCAGATTCAGGGGGTTTCTTGATGAATTAGTAAAAGAAAATTAGTAGTTGCATCATAATTAATTATAGTGAAGGGTAAGTGAGGAGGTTTTATGCCAGTTCGGTTTTCCATATGGATATTTAGGGCTCCTTTCTGAGCTAAAGTAACGTGAAGTTCCAGCCATGGGAACAGCCTGGATTAGGGGCGACTTTCTGACTGGCGTATCAGTAAGTGATGGGAAACAAGGACAGTGGAAGTGCTGTATTTTTAATTGCTCTTCAGAAGCACCCCCATGCCTTATTTCTGTTGCTGTAATGTGGTAACATCTTAATTTTTTCCCAGTCATTATGGTACACTGAATTTTCTTTTTCCTCTGCTGAAACTCGTTTGAATCTGAGAAGGATTACACTCATCCAAGTGACCAGTGTCTGCTGGCCTTTGGCCAGTAACTACATCTCAGATTTCTGTTACTGCAGTTTTGCAGCAAACCCTCCCCAGAGGGAAGTCTGAAATTAAATAATGTACAAGA